AAAGTTACCGTGGCTTTGCCCACGGCTGTGAACTGCTGTGGCGATGGGGAGGGAGACACGCACGTGGCTTTGTGAATGCCATGGGCTCTGCGAGGGCAGGGAGCCCTGCAGCCGCTGCGTAACACCTTCGGTGCCTCTCCCCTCCCCTCCTTACCCTCTCTGTTCCCTGCAGGCTGGAGCTGTACCGCAAAGTCCACAACCTCCGGATCCTGGCGTGCGGGGGAGATGGCACGGTGAGTCCCCTGGCCCCTTCGTGCCTGCGGTACCCTTCGTCCCAGGCCTTTCCAGTGCCGGCAGCAGCCCTCCTCGCTGTAATCCAGAACGGAGGAAAATGTGCGCACTGTGTCCGTGGTCCAGTTGGTGGCACCGGATACTGTGGGTCCCCTCGTGCGCTGCTCCAGGGAGTGCTAGTCTGTGGCATGTTTGGATTTGTCACCCTTTTGGGGGCCAGTGTCCTCACTGGGGTTACTGGTACCTCCTGCAGCACCCGTTCAGAGCATTGAAGACTGTGAATAGCCTCGGTGGTGGCTAAGGGGACCCCGTCTCTGCCCCTCTGCCATCGCTAGTGCTGCCGGTCCCTGAAATAACTGACTGTTTCTTTGCGCTCTCTTGCTCGAGCAGGTGGGCTGGATACTCTCCATTCTGGACCAGTTACGCCTCAACCCACCTCCTCCTGTGGCCATCCTACCTTTGGGGACAGGGAATGACTTGGCCAGGACACTGAACTGGGGTGGGGTAAGTGACGGGCAGAAGAGCTCACTGCTGGCAGAGCGGGGCTGAGCGCTTCGACTCCAGTTCCAGACACACGAGCGGGGGTTTGCACTGGCTGGCCGTTTTGACTTTCCCTAATTACAGACCGACAAATAAGTGCAGCTTGGATGTTACTGTTTTTCTGATGTTTGAATTATTCTGAATTAGGTTATAATATATTAGAACATTAAAAAAAGCAATCATTGTTTCAAACTTTGGGAGATTTTTAGAAGGAAGATGTATTGGTTTTAAATTTAAAGTCCCACTTTGTTGAGCATTGAAGTAGAATTGATCTTTTCCACATCCTTTGCTCTGGGATGTCTTCCCAAAGAAGAAGACATCTCTGCAGGAGGCAGGTAGGAGACTCACCGAGTCCTGCTCTTCACCAGGGTTACACAGATGAGCCTCTGTCCAAGATCCTGTCACACGTGGAAGATGGGAACATTGTGCAGCTCGATCGCTGGAACCTCCATGTACAGCCAAACCCTGATGCGAACCCTGAGGAAAAGGATGAGGCGGCTGCTGACAAGGTGGGAAACCTCCTCTCCACGTTCATTCCCTGCGCTGGTGGTCTGCGTTCACCTTCTCCCGCTGGCTCAGGCAGCCCCAGCACCTGGGGCTATGGTGTTGGGCTGGCATTTCCCTGCTCCAGTTCCACTCCTCTCCTCATGGCTTTGACCCATGGCACTCATGGCAAGGCATGTAGAGGTCAAAACTAACTGTCCACCAGAGGTTTTTAACCAGAGCTTGCAACAGGTATAAGGCCAGTCCCTTCTGAGACTGTTTCTTTAGCAGAAACATGGGTGATTGCAGGTATCTTGGAGAGCAAGGGTGTGTCCCCTTGGGCTGTGTCACTTATCCCTAGGAGCCGGGGTCCATCGTCTCAGGCTGGTGACCTCTGAATTTTCCTAGGGTGAAGCTCTGCTCCGTCAGCCTCGTGAGCACGGTGCATGGCTTTGCTATAGCCTGACCTCATTTTTGCCGTGGCCGCACGCTGGCAGCCTCATCTTTGTTCCTTCTTTCCATTTCAGCTCCCCTTGGATGTCTTTAATAACTATTTCAGCCTTGGCTTTGACGCGCGGGTGACGCTGGAGTTCCACGAATCCCGAGGTACGGAGGGGTGGCAGGGTCTGTGGTGATGGGGTGCCCCAGAGGCGGGCCCGTAAAACGCTCTTTGGGAAAGTAAACAAGAGGATTGCCCCAGGGACAGGGCTGGAGGTGAAACCTGGGGAGCAAGTGGAGGCTGCAGAGGGGGAAGAGGGGTGCCTGCATGGGAAGAGAGCTGGGGGCTGCCTCCTGGCCGAGGCTGGCTAGAGAGCCGTGTCTGGGGAGGGCTGGCAAGTGAAGCATTTCTGTGGCCAATGACCTGGACTTTTTTCTCCTTTCCCTAGAGGCCAACCCAGAGAAGTTCAACAGCCGGTTTCGGAATAAAATGTTCTATGCTGGGGTGAGTGCATGGAGGATATCTAGGCATGCCTTCATAGCAGCCTTAGCATCAGCTGGAGCACAGGCATGGCCCCGGCTCCTGTCCGCACCCTCAAGTCACTCATCCGATTTACACGGGCCTTCACGTGCACCCAAGCTGAGCCCCTCCCGAAGCTGGAGAGGTGCTGGAGAAAGGCTGCAGCCCTGGGAGTCACAGCTCCTCTTTGGCTGCGAGTGCTGCTGGCGGTACAGCTCGCTCTCTGGCCTGCGGTACAGTTGCTGTCTTGATCTCCTGCCACTATTGTTCTTGTTCTCCGGCTCACGGACAGTCACCCAGGCAGGACCTCCCCGGAGCTGTGGGGAGGCAGGCTGTCCCCCCTGCAGAGGAACTGGAAGCCTTTCCATAGAGTCCCTACACTACTTTGGTCTTTTATTTTATACCTTGGGCCAGTTACAGCTCCCTGGCTAATTATGCCACCCTCCCATACCTCACCTCTAGAGCTTTGTGTCTCAGTGCCGTCTTTGTTCGTCCATCCCCCCATCCTCAATATACCTCCCTACCAATTTGAGCAGTACTAAAGGCCAAGTGCTGCTTTGTACCATCTCGCATCTCTCCTGTTTGTGTCTCCCCTCCTCTCTGTACAGTTAAACCCAAAGGGGACCCTAGGATCTGTGTAACAGATGTCTCTCCTGGTATCTCTAGACGAGGTCACACCCGCTCTGTTTTATGGCACTTCATAGGAGCTTGAGACTGAATTTGTCTCTTGTGACTCAAGTCTCTCACAAGAGGAGACCCACCTTGCCAGGTCTTCTCTAAAGCTGGGACTGGACTGGCAAGGGAATACTGGGGGGGTGTTACTAAAGGTGCCCTGAGGTTTTTGGTAGGCAAAATGGCCAGGGGAATGGATCAGGTTGTTTTGGGAGGGGAGAAGAGGCGGCTTCTGCCAATGGACAAGGAAGGGATTTGCTGCTCTCAGCAGCTGAGGTCTGAAGGTCGGTGGCAGGCTCCCTGACTGCCCATTTGGGTGCTAATGCTCTCTCTTGCCTTGGCAGACGGCTTTCTCCGACTTCCTCACGGGGAGCTCCAAAGACTTAGCGAAGCACGTCAAGTTGGTTGTGAGTGTGCAGGGGTGCTCTGGGCCAGGGAGGCGGTTGAGCTGGGTATCTTGGGATTGGGGAGAGGATGTGTTCCTGGGGACATTGGCTTCCCCTGGCTTGGAGGACAGTCACCGTGGGGAGCAGAGGGGGAGGTCATTTCCTCCCAGGTGGGTAGGGTGGGCCAAGCCCCCCCTTACAGCAGCCTGAACTCCCCTGTGTTGTCTCCAGTGCGATGGGACAGACCTGACGTCCAAGATCCAGGACCTGAAGCCCCAGTGCCTGGTCTTCCTCAACATCCCCAGGTGAGCAGCCCCAGGACCTGCCCTCGTGTGCTGGGCTCCTCACCCCCATGCCACAGATCCCTGCCCAGGTTTGGGGGGGCCTGTCCATGCATCGCTTGCCATCCCTTCACAGGTACTGTGCAGGCACCATGCCCTGGGGCAACCCTGGGGAGCACCACGACTTCGAGCCGCAGCGCCACGATGACGGCTGCATTGAAGTTATTGGCTTTACC